TTTCAGGTTAAGAACGGACCTCTGGAATGAATTAAGTACTTAACACGAGGTACCACTGTATACCAGAGGGGAGAAAGAGGAGGAATTTTGGCAGATGCAGGGTGTCATGTAGAAAAAGCTGAACCAGCCCACAGTGCAATGCCATGCTTTAAGTTCAATGGAACTTACTCTCAAGAAAGTGTAGCTTCAAAGGTGCAAGAGCTCTGTACTGCCTTGCACCGAGTCACTTCATGTACAATAGTGTGAGCACATGATGGATGGGTAAGAGTCACTCCCCCAGTCAGAACATATTTCGGCATCAAGACTTCAATTCTGAACCATTATGCTACCCTGTGCCTTATTAACAGGACCAATTATTTTGTAAGATGCAGGGGTTTCTTACATGTGTCAAAGCACACCTTCTTACCTTACACCACAAAGCCAGCCCTGCTGTAGCTGGCTTGTTTTTCTAGTTTATTATACTTTAATAATGAAAAATTGATTTTGCTGCCAGAGAAGGATGAAAACATATTTCTTAAAGGGAAAAGAGGGGACTAAGGGTCAGGTGGGGCTTGTCAACCTGGGAACGTACTCCTTTTGGAGAAGGCAAACTGATTCTAAACCTCCGCTTCCTTGCGGGAGAAGAAAAGGCTAAGGAGCAGTGGTGTAGCAAGGTCAGGGGGCACCCGGTGCGGAAAATTTCTTCTCACCCAACCCCCCAAAAACACACACTAGATTTTTATTTTTATTTTTTTGCCTGACGTTATTTATTATTTCTTTGGGGAGCCAAAGTAGTTGTTGAGCTTTTTTTGCGAAGCCCAAGTTGTTTGTAGCGGGAACCCTGTGCGCCACAGCATCTCTCACAGATGTTGAGTGTCACACAGCATTTTGTCACCCCCCTCAGAGGTGACACCCGGGGCAGACCGCACCCACTTCACTCTTCACTCCGACCCTGCTAAGGAGTGGGGCGTGGGGTTCAGCTGTGCATTGGAAAAGAATACCCCTGCATCCTAAATCATGAGTTCAAGTAATCTGTGGTTTTAACCATTCAATTATTTTTTGATTATTGATTGATTGATTGATTGATTGATTGTCTATTGTGTAAGCAGAATGGTAGGCAATATAAAAGGAAGAAATGGAAGCCCATAAGCCAATGTATATTTAACAGAATCAAGTTAAATTAAATGAACTGCCACCATGAAACACTGCATTTCTCCCTGTTCCCGGTATTAAAACAGAAGACAACATCTGAATGATCTATATGTGGATGAACAACTTAAAATTAATGACCTAGGCAAAAGAACAGTATGTTTCCACATGTTTTAAAGATACTGGGCATATTCCAACCAATGGTGATGCACTGTTAAGTTCTATTGATTATAACAGGAAAGTTAAGCACCCGCTTAAATCTCTTGCATTTTCAGTGAATGGGACTTGTTTGTCATTTGCCACATGAAGGAAAGTTGTTAACATACATCAAGTTCCATAAATTTCATCTGATAGGATGTCACCTTCCCTCCTCCAGCTGATAGACCCTCCTGAACTTTGAAAAAGCGAGGCACTGTGGCTGCAGTCCTATAATACTTACCTGGGAGTAGGTCCCATTGATCTCAATGAGAAGACATCATAGGATCGCACTGTAAAATGCTTATCTTTGTCTGGCTCGCACCCATCCTTGCCATGATGCATATTTTCAACAACCAAAAAGTGGGGCATGGTGTTTGGTTGCCTTATCTGACTGTAAATAGATAAATGAAATAAAAACCCAATATGTACTGTAAGTACTGTCTAAAGTATGAAGCATCATTTAGCTGCAAAAACCAATTATCATCCCTGTCTACATTTTTTTTTAAAAACTGTACAAATCTCCCCCTCCTATTTTAGCACATTTTAAGCCACAGTGTATATGCATTATTCATATTGCCAATCTTGCAGGCAGTTTTTTTATTATTATTAAATTTTATCATAATAATAGTTATTACCACAGCCTTGGCAGTTTTGAGTATTTTTCAGTGCTGTTACTTTGAAAGATTTCAATCAAATATATAAAAGATGCAAATCTATTTCTATAATAAACTTAAGCCATGCCATCTCTATATATTTTTCAAGCAAATGGTAGAAGTGATTGACACCTTCTCTCTGATAGCATCGCCACTTAACCTGAAGATGGCAGACAGTGACAAACCTCACATTGCAGCTCATGGAGAAATTCTTGATTTTCCTTTCTGTTTAGCATTATCAGTTGCTAATGGTTTACATTTTAATCCTAATCCCAGCAGTCATGTTTTGAATCCCAAAGAGCTGCCTGCACATATAGAAAACCACTCTGTGGACTCCTGTAACCATTACAATGGGTTTTCAGTGAGCTCAAGAGTGAACCCCACCCCCCAAATGGGACATTCCTCCCTTAAAAAAAAGCTCAACAACTTTGACCTGAACCCCCAAAAGGGGTAGATCACTGCCAGTTATTTATTCTGTGAGTAGATCAAAGTCTGTAGGGAGTTGGACGTCCCTGTAGTATAAAATAAACATCCTGTCTTATGTCCATCAATAGTTAGACTATGTCATTCTGTACTAGATGGCATTTCAATACTATCTTCAAGAAGGGATTCATATTTTTCAGTAATCTAAGGAAATCAAGAAGGCTTGGGTAACAGTGGTCAAGTGCCTATCTTTTAACATAGTACAATCTGGCAAGCAAACTAGAGCAAGCAAATCAAAGGCCCACTAAGCCACAGCCCCTACTAAGAATTCAGGGCATAGGAGCCAACTCCTAGGGGCTGATGTCCCTTTGGGGCCCCCCAATAAAACATTTAAAGGGGCTGGGCCCCCCAAAACTGATGGGCATTGCTGTTCATATGGTGTGTGTGTGTGCCATGTCATGTGATTGATTATGTGGGACGGGGCTTACCTAGGGCCCCAATATTTTATTCAAGTTATTATTATTATTTTTTTTATAATATTTTTTATTGCATTTTTCCAAATAGAAATACAAGGTCAGATATACAAAGAAATAACAGAAAAAAGAAAGAAAAAGAAGAAAATCATCTTTTCAAAACATTTTTCCATAACCAACCGGACTTCCCCCCGTCCCCCTCACCTTGCGTTCTTTACAATAAAATTTTTCAGCAAATTATAACCTTATTTCGTGCATTCTTTTGTTCTTTCAAATACTTGTGATTTGCGTTTAAAATGCTTATTGTCAATTTACACTAATAATATATATAATGTTCTTTTAAACGTTAGTCCTTTCATTAATATAGCTTAGTTTCCCATACCTTAATCTTATTGCTGGAGCTGAATTTCCCTAATCATGCGAATTCTTAACATTCATATAACTTATAAAATTTTTGTAAATAATCTTTAAATTTTTCCAATCCTCCTCCATTGCTTCTTCCTCCAAATCTCGGATCCTGGCGGTCATCTCGGCCAATTCCATGTAGCCCATCAATTGCGTCTGCCACTCTTCCAGCGTGGGTAAATCTTGAGTCTTCCAGTATTTTGCGATAAGAATTCTTGCTGCTGTAGTTGCATACATAAAAAGGTTCTATCCTTCTTTAACACCTTCTGACCGACAATGCCCAGTAGGAAGGCCTCTGGTTTCTTGGGAAAAGTGTACTTAAACACTTTTTTAACTCGTTATAGATCATTTCCCAGAAGGCCTTCACTTTTGGGCAAGTCCACCAGAGGTGAAAGAATGTCCCTTCAGCCTCCTTACATTTCCAACATTTATTATCAGACAAATGATATATCTTAGCAAGCTTGACTGGGGTCATGTACCACCTGTATATCATTTTCATAATATTCTCTTTCAAGGCATTACATGCCGTGAATTTCATACCAGTGGTCCATAACCTTTCCCAGTCTTCAAACATAATGTTGTACCCAATGTCCTGAGCCCATTTTATCATGGCTGATTTAACTGTCTCATCCTGAGTGTTCCATTTAAGCAGCAAGATATACATTCTCGAAAGTACCTTGGTCTTTGGTTCCAACAATTCTGTCTCTAGTTTCGATTTTTCCACCTGGAAACCTGTTCTTTTGTCCAGCTTAAAAACCTCTTGAATTTGAGCATAGTGAAGCCAATTTTGCACCTTATTCTTTAATTTTTCATAACTCTGCAGCCTCCAAGTTTCTCCTACTTTTTCTATAATTTCCCCATATTTCAGCCAACCAACCTCCATATTAGGTTTTTAACGGGCCTTGGCCTCTGCTGGTGAAAGCCACCTCGGAGTCTTACCCTCTAATAAGTCCTTGTATTTTGTCCAGACCATAAATATTGATTTTCTAACAATATGATTTTTGAACATTTTATGAACCTTTGCCTTGTCGTACCACAAATATGCATGCCAACCAAAAGCATTATCAAACCCTTCCAGATCTAGAACATCAGTGTTCTCAAGAAGTAACCAATCTTTCATCCAGCAGAAGGCCGCAGCTTCATAATATAATCTCAAGTCCGGCAGGGCAAACCCCCCTCTTTCTTTCAAATCAGTTAGTATTTTAAACTTTATCCGGGGCTTTGCCCTGCCAGACAAACTTAGATATATCCTTCTGCCACTTTCCAAAACATTCCACTCTGTCCACAATCTGTAGGGTTTGAAACAAAAATAACATTTTCGGCAATACATTCATTTTTATAGCAGCAATTCGACCCAACAAGGAAAGTTTCAATCTTGACCAGATTTCCAAATCTTTTTGATTTCCAGCCAACATTTTTCATAGTTGTCTTTAAATAGATTCAAATTTTTCGCTGACAAGTGAACCCCTAGGTATTTCACTTTTTTACCACACTTAGTTCTGTTTCCTTCTGAAACCCATCTATTTCTGAGGGTGTCAAGTTTTTCCCCAAAACCTTAGTTTGCTTATTCAACTTAAATCCCGCCACCCGACCAAACTCATGAATCAATTCTAATACTCTTTTTGTACTAGATTCTGGCTCCTGTAATGTTAAAACCAAATCATCTGCAAAAGCTTTCAATTTATATTGTTTCGCTCCGACCTGTATTCCTTGTATCAACCGGTCCTTCCTAATCATGTTCAGTAACACCTCCAGGACTGAAATAAATAAAAGGGGGGATAGGGGGCACCCTTGTCGTGTCCCTTTTTCAATTTTGAACTCATCTGTCACCACATTGTTTACTATCAATTTAGCTTTTTGCTCAGAATAAATTGCTTCTATTCCATTTTCAAACCCCCGTCCCACTCCCATCCCTTCCAGGTTTCTCTTCATAAACATCCAAGAAATATTATCAAAGGCCTTCTCCGCGTCGATGAAAATTAACACAGCTTTCGTATTGATATTAGTTTGTAAAAGTTCCAAAATATCAATAATGTTCCTGGTATTATCAAAAGATGTCTCCCTGGGAGAAAGCCTGCCTGGTCCTTATGAATTACTTCGTTAAGTATTTTTTAAGTCTGCTCGCCAAAATATCAGCAAAAATTTTGTAATCCACATTTAGGAGTGAGATGGGACGGTAGTTCTTAAGCTGAGTCTTTTCAGATTCCAATTTAGGAATCAATGTGATGAAAGCTTCTTTCCACGTTTCCGGTGCCCTCCTCCCCTCCATAATCTGGTTACAGACCTCCATTAGTGGTTGTATCAAATAGTCTTTTAGTGTCTTATAGTACTTGGAGGTAAGTCCATCTGGGCCTGGAGATTTACCTAGTTGCATATTCTGAATGGCACCCTCTATTTCCTGTCGTGTTATTCTATTATTTAAGATTGTCCTCTTCTCCTGAGATAGTTTGGATAGACCGTTAACTTTTAAAAATTGATCTATCTCAGACGCTTCCTGAGGCCCTTGTGTATAAAGTTTTTTGAAATATTTCTGGAAACACTTTCTAATTTCTTCTGGTTTCTGAATGTTTCTCCCTTCCACCTCTAGATTAGTGACAAAGTTCAATTTTTGTCTCTTTTTCAACTGCCATGCTAGCAGTTTTCCACATTTATTTGCCGATTCAAATGATCTTTGTTTCATTTGTTTGATTTTCCATTCCACTTCTTGATTTATCAATTTCGCATATTGAGCTTGGTGGAATTTGATTTCTCTTAAAACCTCTTTTGATTTTGGTTTTAATCTCAATTTTTTCTCTCCTTCTCTTATCTTCTCTAATATCCTATCTTTTTCCCATTCCAAAGTTTTTTCTTGATTGTGTTCTGTTGTATCAGAAACCCCCTCATTACAGCTTTACTTGCGTCCCAGATTGTTCTCTTTTCCACCGAAGTGTTCAAATTGATTTCAAAATAGTCCTTTAAAGTTGTTAGGGCCGTCTTCACAATCTCCTGATCTCTTAGTAGGGTGTCATTCATTTTCCATCTGAAAGAACCGGTTGGAGTAAGTCTCAATTCCACTTTCAAAGCATTATGGTCGGAGCAAGTCTTTGGACAGATTTCCACTTTTCTGATCTTAGGTGCCAGTCCTCTAGTTGTCCATATTTGGTCGATTCTTGTCCATGATAGGTGGGCCTCAGAAAAAAATGTTCCTTCTTTACCTAAGGGGTTCCTTGTCCTCCAAATATCAATCAAGTCCATGTTATCAGTTAGTTCAAAGAAGGTTTTAGGTAGTCTGCCGTCTTTAGTTAAATTTTGATTTTGTGACTTATCCATGTGAGTAGAAACCACCCCATTCATATCGCCCATCATTATGATGTTGGTATAGTCCAGATAGTCCAGCATTATCTCATGCAGCTTCTTGTAAAATTCCGATTTCCCCTCATTTGGTGCATATATTCCTAAAATCAAAAACTTTTCTCCTTGTGTTTGTATCTCAATTGCCAAAATTCTTCCTTGCTCATCTTTAAACAGAAATTTCGGTGACAGGTTCTCCTTTGCATAAATCACTACGCCTCTTTTCTTGACTTTGTCTGATGAAATAAATTCTTGGCCTAGTCTTTTGTTAATTAACACTTTCCTATGGAGCCTAGTCACATGCGTTTCCTGCAAGCAAACAATATCCAATTGTTCTTTTTCAAAATATGAAAAATCCTTCGTCTTTTTCCGGGAATTCCCGCCATTTATATTCCAACTGTACAGCTGCAGAGACATTCTGAATCAATCTGTTGTTCCTATAGTGGGGTGTCTTCCTTTTCTTCCGGCCCCGAGGGTGTAGGTATCGGTGCTTTTCCAGGCAGTGGCGGTGGCCAAGAGGCTGCTGCTCCCTTCTGAAGGTCTTCTCCGTGGTCGTGCAGGAACTTCTGGTTATCTTCTGATGTTTTAATCTTAATTTTCTTTCCTTTAAAATTAAAAGATAAACCTTGGGGAAACTCCCACCTATATGGAATCGCGTTTCCTCTCAGTAGTCTTGCTAGGTCTGTATATGTGGCTCTGAGATCCAAAAGTTGTTTAGGAATATCTCTATAAAATTCTGCTCTTTTGCCTTGGATATCAAGTGATTTCTTAAAGTGGAGGCCTAGTATTTTATCTCTCTCCTGCTTGGATCTCAAAATAATCAAACAGTCTCTGGGCTTGTCCCTCCTCACGACTCTTCCTAATCTGAACGCAGTTGTGATCTTGAAATCTTTGTCCTCTTCTATACCCCAGAACTTGGAAAATTCTGCTGTCAGATAACCAATTAAATCTTCCTGTTCAAGCTCTGGGATAGCTCTTAATCTCAGATTGTTTTCCCGGTTTCTCAATTCCACCATAGACAGGTAAGCCTGCTGATCACTAATGTGCTTGTGTAGTGGCCTTACCTCCCCTTTTATAGCCTCAACTTTTTGATTTGCTTGTTCTGCTTTTTCATTGGCTGCTTCAGCCAGTCTCCGATTTTCCACAGTTGCTTCCTTAAGATTCCCAATAACTTGTGTATGTTGTGCAACTTGGTCAGACAATTTAGTAATAGAGGATGTGGCTTGATCTATTTTTGCCGATTGGTCATCCACCTTCTTGTTCAATATTGCAAATTGTTCTAACATTTGTTGTAGGAAGGTATCTGATCCTCCCTCTGCCATATCCTCTGATGCAGGCTGTGCAATTTCCTTTTCTTGTACTCCCAAAACAGCTGGGACAGATGATCTACGTGACTGAGTAGTCAAAGTTGTTTGCACAAGTTGGGCTTGTCTTGCTTTCGTTTTCGCAGATCTTGTTTTCGGTTGGCCACTCATTCCACACCTGTCTATGAGTCAAGGTCAAGCTGTATATTGTCCCATGGGAAGGACAGTTCCAAAGTGTAAATAACAGAGCAGCAGATAGTCCAAATAAAATTTGTTCCCAGGCACTTGTAATTCCAGAACTCCACTAGGGGGAGTATTACTGTAGTTCATAGAAAGGAAAGAACTTTATCCGCCATTAAAGTCCCTGCAGCCTCAAAACAGTCTAATTTACCAAAAGTTCTTCATAAACTTTTTTAGCTTACAGAGCACTTCCCAAGCTGCCACAAAGTCTCAGATAAAAGGTGCCAGTAACAGTTTAATTAATTGTATCTTGCCAGTATCACTCAACTGTAACAGTCTCTATTTTGGATACAATTTCCGCAATGACAGCTCTCTTTTTTTCAGTCAGTCCGAGGTTTGGTTCTTAATTCTTTATAATCCATAAAGGGGAGGAAAGTCCCATTTAAAGTCCAAAATACTTAGAAATAAAAATCTTTTCTCCTTCTTTTTAAAAGCCAATTCTATCAACACGATAGTCCCAAATTTATAATCTTTTAAAACTGCTTCCCGCTTGTTAAAATCTTTGCCTTTGATCTTTAAAGCACTGCCGGAAGACGGACTTCCTGTTTATCGTCTCCCGCTTTCAGCCAAATTTAACACTTTTAGTCCCAAAATGATTGATCCTTACTCACGAGTAGGTAGTTTAGAGCCTGATGTTCCAAGAAGAAAGGTCGGCGCTCATCAGCAGCAGCCGCGCGGCTTCACTCCCGCAGAAAGAGCGATGAACTCACAGCACCGCGCCACTTCCACGTTTCCGGAGCCCCTTACGGGGTTCCTTCTTCGTTTTGGGGTCGCTCCTGGTGCCCGCCGAGTCCCACGGCCACGGGCTCAC